ATTAAAAGATAATTTTGAATTTATAAATAAAGTTCTAAAATTCGAATTTAAATTAAAAATAAATTTTATCTTTTTTTTTATCATGTTATCATATTTAATTCGGTTAATGATCATATGCAATCATGTCAGGAACTTTTGTTATTTTTTATAATTATTTAAATACTACTTTGCCTCTAGCAAAAAAAAAAAACTACACCTTATAACTATAAAACTCTTTCACATTTAAAATCCTATAAGTATAGTTCTTTGAAACACTGTAGCTAGATTTGAATAAAATGAAATTCTTTTAAAATAAATATAATATATAGGGTACACGTCTATGTTTATCTAAATAACAAAAAAGAGTTTAAAAAACCAAATAAAAGTTTACTTACATATATAATAAAGTAAACATACATGCTGGAGGAAGAAACAACACAAAATCAATCAATATTAAAAAAAAAATTGTTTCTTTTTTCTTCTTGAAGAATATTTTTTTGAAGAGTCAATTTGCATAAATGAACATCAAACAAATAACAAAACTTTGGCTATACAATTGCTATCATTAATTTCAATTTAGCATATTCAAGGAATTGAACGGTATAAGCTGAAACCCCTTCATTTAGCTGTAGTCAAGCCAATATTGCAAGGGTATAATATTTTTTTCGTTGAAGAGTATTAGTTTTGAATCATTAGATTATGTGAAAGTTTTTTTTTGTTCAAACTCAACAAGAGATAAATTGATTTCTAATTGATAGTTTTATAGCGACTTTTAAGTGTAACAAAGAGTATATATAAAGAAAAAAATAGTATGACGTGAAATATTTTTTTTTAAATGTAAACAAATTATTTCAAAAAATCTCATTACTTTTTTTAATTCAAAGATAATAACAAGACAAGATATTTTTGAACATTAGTAGGGAGTTTTAAAATTATTATGATAGAAGTTATATCATGGATAAACTCAAAAAACGAAATCTTATGGAGTATTTACAAAATATTCGGCCATATTTATTGTTTACTTTTTATAGATAATATATCGATAGCACACAATTATACACATATTATATATGGATTATATATAAATTACACATCATTCAATTTTTTAATTTAAGTTATTGGGTAAGCACCTATTTAGCTGATTAGATAAAGCCAAAAGAAAAATATGAAATAATTTCAAGTAAAGACTAAAAATATAATTAAAGTTCATATGTAGACAATTTTTATTATAAATCATCCTTTTATAGTGAAATAAATTAATTTTTTGTAACAACAGAAATAATGACATAAAAATAAGATAAAAGAAAAAATATTGAAAAAAATATTAGAAAGATCTAAAAATGAGAAATAAAAGATGACAGCAAATTTCTTTTTATGTTTCATCTTTGCTGAGTATAAAAAATTGGAAAGTTAATCTCATCGATTTCAAATATTTTTTTTCAACTCAAATACATAGATTATAAGATAAGGATATCTTCGAATATTTTTTTTAAAATTTACATTATGTGTCATTTTTAAAAAATCACTATTACTAACAAACTCATATGATATTTGAATTTGAATTGGAATGCAATTTGAGTAGTTTGCATTGAGGTTAAGCCAAGTATGGTGTCGAAAGATAAACTAATTGACAATTTTAAGACAATATATGCAATGTTTTATAATAATAATCAACTAATTTAACATTTAATGATTCAAAGAACAAAATTTTGTATATATAGGATATTAAAAATTTAAATTTTGGGGCTAGAGATATCGATAAACTTAAAGTGGAGTCATACTGAAATAAATCCGGCCAAAGAATCATTTAAATTTTTAGATAGTCGATTAAAGTGAATTTTAAATTAAAGATAATATCTTCACTTGCATCATTATAAAGATATCTATTATTATAATATATATAACGTTTTAAAAATTGAAATTTCAAAATAGAAATATTTTTTGAAAGATAAAAGCATACCAACTAAGAGTTCAAGTCATAGTATAAGAGTCACGTCGTAATCAAAGAATCGTTTATATCGTGTCAACCTTTGTGCTTTGCCATAAATATGAGTTATTATTTCATTTTGTGGCTATTTTTAAGTTCCAATGACACATATGAGAATAGTGCAAAAATAAAACTATCACTATGAGAATTGAGAAAATGTTAGTCTTTTTTCATGTAGTATTTCTTAATTAATATCTGACGATTATCTATAATTATTTAGAAGGTCTAAATGTTAAGGTTATTTACATATAATTCAAATAACTCAGATATTTAATATGGTTAATGTCAAATATTAAAATGGAGTAAAACAAATAACAAATTCACTAGCTAAAGAATTTTTTATATTTTTAGATAGCCAACTAAAATGAGTTTTGAATTAAGAATAATATGTTCAACTACATTATTATAAAAATAGTTATTATTGAAAAATAATGTTTTAGGAACTGAAATTTTAAGAAAGAAATATTTTTTAAGAGATATCAACACACCAAATAAGAGTTCAAGTAGTAGTAAAAGAGTTAAGTCTTATCCAAAGAGTCATTCATTGTCTCAACATTTGATTGTTTTGCCATAAATATAAGTTTATTTTGCTTCCGGACTATTTTTAGGATTCAATGACACCGGCAAGAATGACATCAAAAAAGAAAAATAGAAGAAATTGTTAAATTTTTTCATGTAGTTAATATCCAATGATTATCTATATTTACTGAGAAAGTGTAATTTTAAGATTATTTACATATAATTCAAATAACTTAAATATTTGACATGATTAGTGTTCGCGCATCCGCGCGGGTACTATTACTAGTTATAACATTAAAAACCAGTTTCCTCATTGTCTAGAAACACAACTCCATCATCCATTGCTGGAAATTTACTTGATACCGTGAATGTTTCTGCACAAGGAACCCAGCCTTTAACAGTAAGTTTCAAATTCATTCTTTCTCATGCACGTGGAGTTTGTTCTTCTTTTTCTTTTCTCTTTGGAGTGTTTTTTTTTTGCTATGAAACGTAGCTCTTGATATATTTAAAACATGAAAGTTAACAGAGTACACAGCAGATGGAACTGAAGATGGATCGGGTTACATAAAATCTAATAACGGTAAACTAAAGTTGGGTGAGTTATCAAAAACTAGAACATCTTGATAGTGGGATTCCCCAGTTACAAAGACAAAAACTTCAGCTCTAGAGCTGAAGTTACCCAGTTACAACACAAAAATTACAACACAAAAACTTCAGCTCTAGAGCTGAATTTTCCCAGTTACAAAACAAAAACTTCAGCTCTAGAGCTAAACTTCAGGTCCGACTAGTAGAATGCTAAAGTTTTGCGTGATTGTCTTTGCTACTTCAGCCCCGTGTGCTGAAGTTATGCGAAAAAACGGGTATATTTATAAATGTTTTTGCAAAGCGAACATAAATTAAAATGTGACACAAAAAGTGGGTATATATGTAAATGTCCCGGTTAAGAGTTACTACTAGGCTTGGATCAGAGTTATGTGTAAATATAGGCTCTAGTAGCGTAGATCGGTAATGATTAATTTTGCATGGAGGGGAAGACGGCCAGCAACGCTGTTTCACTTTCCAAGGATTACATTCCAGAAGTAGAAAGTTTACCACCTTGCAAAAATGTGTTAAGTAATTATGTATAATGTAAATTTACAAGAACTAATAACGATACTTGTACATCTCATTATGTCAAAAACATAATACACGATAAATAATCTTGAAATAAAAGTGTACATATACTCAGCGGCGGAGTTCGACTTAGCACAGTAATTACTTTTATCCTAACTCTATATTTGTCTTATAAAATTATTAAATTATACATAAATTATTAATTTAGAACCTAACAACTTAAAAGAATTAGAATATTAATCCCATAAATTTCAAATTCTGGCCCCGTCTATGAATATAATGATACTTCCAAATGAACTAAATATATCTCATATGGTAAAAAATTTCACCGTAGGTTTGACTGTTTGAGTGATTTATAGTCTGTTTGGTCAAGTTTTTTTTTTTGGGCCAAAAATATTTTTTTTATATATAAATTGAGGTGTTTGGCCAAGCTTTTAGAAGGAAAAAATGTAATTTGGGGAGAAGGAAGCAATTTTTCAGAAGAAGAAAAAGTAGTTTTTCTCCAAAAGCACTTTTTTGAGAAACACTTTTGAGTAAAATACATTGAAAATAGTTTTTAAAAGCTTGGTCAAACACTAATTAGTGCTCAAAAGTACTTTTCAAATTAATTACTTTTAAGAAAAGCACTTCTCAAAATAATTAAGCTGATTTTAAAAGCTTGGTCAAACATACTATTAGACAGCTATTGCATGTTTCTTCCATCGTAATTTATATGAGTGGTCCAACATGAATACTTCGTATTACTTTTTTATATTTAGAAAATATTTAATTTCATTTCTCGTTTTATTTTTAATGCGATAATCTATAAGCTCATAAATATTTATGGCCTGTTTTATATCACAAATTTAAAATATATATNATATGCTTTGAACTATTTTACATATTTATACATTTCTGAAGTGACCTTAAGGGGTCATTTAGTATGATGAATAAGTAAAAATAATTCTAGGATAAAAATTACCGTCTTATTTTTTGTTTGGCAATTAATCCTAAAATAAGTTATCCGAGGATTAAAAATAATATCGGAATAACTTATACCTGGTGGAATAGTAATCTTATGATAAATTATTTCAGCATAAAATAATAAAATTGACAATCCCAAAATTTACTAACATATCAAACAATCAATAAACAATACTATACTAATTTCGGCAGAACTTGTCTTCAAACCAAACGAGGCTTCCTGTGGTTAGTCAATATCCTGATTGAAGTGCAGAGTGCAGACAATTAATGCTTAATTTATTCAATGGTATTTGGTTCCTACTTCCTACATGAAAAGCTGCCTTCTTTATTCTCTCAAGTAGTAATTTTCAAGTTTCCTGTGCAACTATGTAGTGTTATTCTACATTAACCACATCTCCTTAAATGACATCCATGAAAAAAGTTCCTCCAAAGAAATCTCATTTTTTCAAACCAATTCTGCCTGGTTTCAAGAATGGCCTTGTGAGTTATTATATGTACTTTTAATTGTTTCATCTTTCTATATTTTACTCTGCTATATCTATGATATAAAGGTGAAGGAAGGGGAATGTGCGAGACCTTGTAATAGTCTACGGTCCCGTCCTAAAAAAAGATGTGAATCATACTTTGTGACATGGCTATTTTAATTATACATATTTTTGTATTGCAGAAAATTCCTGTAGGTTTCTTAAAGTATCTGAAGGGACATGATAATGTACATGCAATACTGAGAAGGGGTGGTAAGAAGTGGGTGATGAAGGTGAACGGCCGTCGAATGGAAGATGGTTGGACAGAGTTTGCAGAAGAGCATGATTTGCAATTGGGAGATATGTTGGTATTTAGACATGAAGGTAATATGGAGTTTAATGTTTCCATATTTGGTTCAAGTTGTTGTGAGAGAGAATACGCGGCGTATATGCAAGAAGACGAGGATGAAGAGGAGGAGACTCCCAAGAAATTTGATTTGGAAGGTGAAGTTCTTTAGGGCTCATTTGTGATATACATTCCTCAACTTTCTTTTTATCTTTCTGTTATATATTATGGAAATTGTTTTCTTGATTCATAATGCAAATTGTAATGGAAATTTTGTTATACATAAACCTAATGATGCTTATTTTTGTGGCGTTATTTTCTTAAGTGATATTGTGTATAATTAACAAATGCAACAGAAAAAGTAAAGGCTAACATCAGGACATCAGGCAAGGCTTTCCCCAATGCAGAAGCTGCTAATAAGGGCATGCATCTCAGTCCCTCTCATCTCATTTGTACAATCAAACCTTATTGCCTTACAAAGTATTTTCTGGTAAGTTCGCGACTACATTAATACTATGATTGTTACACAGAAGAAAACAAAGAAATCAGGAAAAGAAATGAATTCTTTTCCTGTATGTATAAGCTTATGAGAACAATTATCTCTTTGACAATTTGGAGGTGTAAAACATATATTCAACATATGTATATATATATATACATATTGACTGTTTATTTGCAATTGGTTATAAACTATTTCAGCGCATTCCGAGACAATTTGCACTAGATAACAGACTCAACAACAGGAAATGCACGATAATTATGAGGGACGAGCTAAGGTCATGGACATGTAGTCTGCATACAAACGGAAATACCTACATTGGACGTGGATGGCATGAATTCTGCACTGACAAGTGCTTAAAGGAAGGAGATCGCGTAATGTTTGAGATAGTTTCCAATGGAGAAACACCTATATTTAAATTTCATGGCAAGTTTCTCCTGTTTTCTACTGTTTAATTACTTACATGATGCGACACTAGTTTAACATATATATATATATATATATTGGAAGATCTCTTGATCCAAAACAAAAAAAAAGAAATATGATGTGTCCAAATATCTAGAAAAGGACACTCCTTGCCATCAGAATGAGCAATAACAGATCTTTTCTGCTTCAACTGAATGTTATATTTTTGGTTTAAATTCATTTTCAGTTTAAGTTATGACATTGTTGTTTCAATCTAAAAACTAGATTTGAGAGGAAATCCATCCCACCATCCTGAAGTAAAGAAGAACAATTTTGATGCCAAAAGAATCTCAGATGAAGGTCTGGATATTCAAAGCAAACACTTCTAGTTGTCTGATATAACTTAACTTCATTTTTCATTTCTGATTGTAATGTTTCTTCTTCTATTTTCTTAAGTGATTTTATGTGTAATTAACAAATGCAACAGAAAAACCAAAGGCCAACATCAAGGCATCAGACAAGGCTTTCCCCAATGTAGAAGCTGCTGAAAAGGACAAGCATCTCACTCACTCTCACTTCATTTGTACAATCAGACCTTATTGCCTTTCAAAACATTTTGTGGTAAGTTCACAAGCTGAAAAAAAAACAGAGAAAGAATGGAAAGAAATGAATTCTTTTCCTGTATGTATAGCTTATGAGAACAATTATCTCTTTGACAATTTGAAGGTGTAAAACATACATACATACTCCTTACCTCACAAACCCTCACCTTCGACTCCATATTGAAAAGGCCGGCCATGAAGGGACATCACAACTATATTCCTTTCTGGGAATATCGGGCTTTATATGATCCTGATTAGTGATTAGTATATTTTAATATTCTGGATCCTTACACAAATACATACGTTTATTTGCAGTGGATTAATTATAAACTGTTTCAGGCTGTTCCAAGACAATTCGCGCTGAAAAACAGACTCAACAACAGGAAATGTATGATAATTATAAGGAACGAGCGAAGGTCATGGACATTTAGTCTGTATACAAGCAGCAACAACACCTATTTTGGGCGTGGATGGCGTGAATTCTGCATTGAGAAGTGCTTAAAGGAAGGAGATCGCGTAATGTTTGAGATAATTTCCAATGGTGAAACACCTGTATTTGTATTTCAAGGCAAGTTTCTCTTTCAATCCCTTTGTCTTAAATTTCATCCTGTTTTCTACTGTTTAATTATTTACATAATGCGACACTAGTTGAATATCTAGACTAATTAACTAAGATGAAATGAATTCATAGTTTGGTTTTAATATGAATATATGTTGGAAGAACTCTTGATCCAAAATAAACAATAACAGATATTTTCAGCTTCAACATAATGTTCTATTTTTGGTTTTAAATTCATTTTTCAGTTTCAGTTATGACATTGTTGTTTCAATTAAAAAACTAGATTTGAGAGGAAGTCCATCCCTCCATCCTGAAGTAAAGAAGAACTATTTGGATGCTAAAAGAATTAAGACCATGGACGCGACTTCTCCAAAAGTACAAGTACCTGCTTCAACATCTGCTGATGCTAACCCTCATTTTATATCTACTATTAAACCTTACACCATCAAACATCATGTTTTGGTAAGTGATTTGAACAACTTTCAATAAAAACCTTATCTAATGGAATAGTAGGTTTTTTCATGTGATAACGCGGCATTGATCTATATATTGGGATAAAATTTGAGCAGTATCTTCCATTGGCTTTTGTGAAATCAAATGGCTTGATGAATAGACACTGTGAGATGATTCTTGTCAATGAAAAACGGAGATCATGGTCAGTGCAGCTAGGGCAAATGGGACATCACTTTGGAATTAAAAGGGGATGGCGAGAGTTCGTACGAGCAAATGGTGTTCAAGTAGGAGATATTTATAAGTTTGAACTCATCAACAATGGCACAATACCTATAACGCATTTCCATTGTGAGTATATATATGTTGTTGTTTTTCATTATTTACTTTTTCTAGCCATATACATAGATTATATATTTATTATATATAACTATACACATATAATACATAAATTATGCATATATGGATGTGCGGCTATTTGAGTTAATTCTTCATTAGAATACAGAAGTTGTTATAGAACCAAATTTTTTTTTTTTTTACTGAGATTATAAAATGTTAGTATGTTAACTTTTAAAGATATACACAAAATCTTAAATGTTTCAAATAGTGTCGATTGTACTTTGGTATTTCAAAGATACATATAATATTTTGATATTTTATTGTGTGTCAAATTTCCTAACAATTGCTTTATGATGAAAATTTTCCATATAAAAGATCTACCAGCTTAGACTTCTATGATCCTAGCTATAATGGTTTTATACAATCAACTCCTTGAAATTTCAAATAATAACTAAAGGCAATATTTTGTTTTTAAAAATTGTAGGTATATATTCTGGTAAGGATGCCAAGAATCACACCCTCAGAAGCCATTGACAAGATACAGAAGCTGTTGGTGATGGGCAAGGAAACAGGCACTGAAGCAAGTGAATACAATGTTTTTGGATTTTGTACATGTTGCTAAATCTTAAAACAACAACTACTTTCTGTATGATGTATTCTACTTTTGTAGTTTTGAAAATATCCTTGCATACATGACTAGCAATTAGATTAAGGTAGCCTTTTTGGATTCTTGCCCGTTGTAACCAAACCAGAAAATTAAGGAACAGAAATTGACTGCCCGTGGTCTCCTCGGGCTTTGGTCTAGGGGTACGAATGTAACATGTAAATGTGTTGTAGACAAGAGTCTTGTGTTTAAGTGGAGAAAAGTAAAAAAACAGATTTATTATCAGATGAGTTTTGAACTATATGCCATTGACCCTTAGCTGGTAAAAAAAAAACCGTAATACAGAATTCTTGTGGAGAATTCTTATTTCAAGCTATTTCCCGAAGTATGATTTATTAGTTGATACATGGAATGCAAATTAGCTACTATTTCTGTTCTTTATGCAAAGTTCCAAAAATTAGAAATTTCTACTATCGCAAATAACTTTAATCCTCATTAATGTCTCAAGTTCAGTTATTTGATGGGTGGAATTTGGAAGGGGTATTAATTGGGGGATTAGATTGATGTGTAATCAATATAGGCTCTAGTAATGGTAATGAATATAATGATTGGTTTTGCATGGAAAGGGAGACGCCAGCAATATTGTTTCTCTTTCCAAGAAAAACTTTACCAGAAGTAGAAGTTATATCTTTCCAAATTAATCAGTCCATTGTGCAGTGACTAGAGTTCCTTGGGGAGTGTTTACTGTATCACAAGTGTTGTCACTTGTGTAACTTCTACTACCGTATTTTTAAGACTTAGGGGTCGGTTGGTTTGAGTATAGCAAGATTTAATCTAAAATCTCTCGTAAGATAACATAGTGTTCAATTGAGCCGTTGAGATACATGAATAATTAATCATAAGATACACTCTTAAAAAATTCTCTCTCTAGAAAATTCTCTCTCTAGAAAATTCTCTCCCCACTGACTGGTTTCTCCAAGCGGCGGTTACGTTTGGCAGGAACGGTGGTTGTCAATGGCGAAGGGCAAAAGGTAATGGACCAGGACGGCCAAGGAAGACACTAATACTAGTTCTCGGAAGTTCGCTAACAACAACCAAATCTCCAACAACATAGTTAGTCTCTCAGAAAACACAGGCGGCTGCACCATTGGTAGCTCCAGTGGTGGATCAACAAAATGGAAGGAACGACAATGGTAATTTCTCTCAATCTGATAATTATCTGACACATCTAGTAGAATTGGACAGTAGATTGCCTAAGAATGATAGTGGAATGAACAAAGTATTGAGTGAATGTGGGGTTTCATCTTCGAATGTATCGACTATGGTGCAACCACAACTAAATGCACATGTAGATGAAAATCCGCAGAAATCGATGGCTAACAAAGATCCAGTAGCTCTGGCGTAGGTTAATTTGTTTGCTAAAAATCGGATGGCGTCAAACGGCCTTGCTCTATCTTACATTCCACCGACGATTGTGGATAGTAATGTGATTATTCAATTAGATCCCATGGAGACCGCGAAAGAGGTTGATAAGTGGAAGCACTCTCTGATTGTTGCAGTAATAGGCGAAATTTCAGGGTATAATCATATGAAAAGATTCATCAACTAGAATTGGTCAAAAGCCCCATGCTCTGAACTGTTATGGCATGACAAGGGCTATTTCATCGCCAAATTCAAAGAGGAAGACGACCTCAAGGAAATTCTGTATGGAGGACCCTATAAAATCAATAATAGACCTATAATCCTGAAGAAATGGTCTCCTGACATAAAATTTGATACAACATTTCTCAAAGAGATTCGCTTATGGGTCTCTTTCCCTAACTTGCCTATGGTGTATTGGGGAAAAGACTCGTTGAGCAGACTGGAAAGTGCTATTGGAGTGCCACTTTTTGCTGATTAATGTACAGATAATCAATCGAGAATTTTGTTTGCGAGGATGCTGATTGAAGTGAACATAACAAAGCCATTACTAACTGAAGTCAAAATACAGGATCCATCTGGGAAGATGTACCATCAAGCGGTGACGTTTGAATGGCAACCTGAATTTTGTTCAGCTTGGGCATGTATGCAAACGCAATGAGGAAGGTCAAGGGAAACCTCAAAAAATTCAGAAAGTGAATGGCAAATTTCGCCAGCAATCAAAGGAATGGAGAAGCATAGGAAATGTGACACAGAATATAAGTAAGCCTCAAGAACTAATTGAGCCAACTGATCTTTCTAAGGTTATATGTGCTGATACAATAGCTCCTAAAGTGCAAAATGTAGTCCCTATCATACTGGCTTGAAAATCCTTGGAAATTACCCAGGGCACAAAACAGCCTAAAGGGCATGATAATAGTGTATCAAGAGGAAAAATCGGTGTTTCAACTCCTAGAAAATTTGTAGAAGGTATGAATTTTTCAATTGTCACACAAAATACATTTGGAGTACTATCAGGAGGTCAAGGGGATAAGCAGCCACCAGATAGAGGTGGTATATCAATCCCTTCAAAATGACACTCATCATGTGGAATGTGAGAGGGGCAAACTAAAGATATAAACAGAAGGAGTTGGCTAAATACTTAAAAGACAATCATATTTCCTTAGCAGGTATAGTGGAGACCAAAATCAAACAACATAAGGCTTCTGTTATTTTCCCCAAGATTGCAAAAAATTGGGACTTAGTACATAACTATGATCATGCGGTTAATGGAAGAATATGGGCATTAGTTGACAGAAATATATGGCAAGTGAATGTGGTACAAACAGATACTCAATTTATTCCTTGTACCATTAGTAGCTCTAATGTCAGTTGTGCTATGATTGTGGTATATGGTTATAACAACTTAGAGATGTGAAAGGAGATGTGGCAAAAACTTAAAAACCTTTTACAAACTATAAATCAACCATGGCTATTATGGGGAGATTTTAATGTTATTATCTCTACTCAAGATAGAATGTCAAATATTGCAATAACACAAGTAGATATTCAAGATTTTGCAAACTTTTGTTCTGATACAATGATGTCTGAAATCCCTTGGAGAGGGGAGTTCTTTACCTGGACAAATGGGCAAATGGGAGAAGACAAGGTAATTAGCAAGATAGACAGAGCATTGGAGAATGATGATTGGATGATGAACCTTGGTCACCTAACAGTTAAAATTAGGGATCCATTTATCTCATATCACTTGTCACACCTCCTTTTACATACCCGCGCGGGCACAAGGGAGTTTTTTCCAATTAAAGGACAATCGAAACGGGATTGGTTTATTTATTTCAGAGTCGCCACTTGGGAGTTTTAGGGTGTCCCAAGTCACCAATTTTAATCCCGAACCGAGGAAAAGAATGACTCCATATTACAGTCTGCGTACCAGAAATCCGGACAAGGAATTCTGTTAACCCGGGAGAAGGTGTTAGGCATTCCCGAGTTCCGTGGTTCTAGCACGGTCGCTCAACTGTTATACTCGGCTTATTTATCTGATTTTAAATACAATTATGAACCATGTGCAAATTTTATCTTTTACCGCTTTATTATCATTATTTTTTAGGAATGTGAACATCGCTAAAAAAACATGTCTTTGGACTGCGTCACATGAAATGCACCCACAATCCGGAACATATTTTATTTGACGTTTTGGGATTTGGATTTGGGTCGCATGAAATGCACACCCAAGTTTAAGAAAATAGATTATTAAATACGCACCTAAAGAAACTATCGTGTTATTATTTTGGGAGGGCCGTGAAATTCGCTAAACGGCACGTCCCGAATTCTAAATACTTTGATATATACATACAATAGAGGGCCCCGCAACTTTTGTTCATTTTGTTCGTCGAGGCTCGTCTCATCCTTGTTTTTAAAGGGATATCCTATAGTAACTACGTTTCTTGTCGCGCTTGTCTCTACTAATTGAAAACAGTAGATAGTCCTAGTTAATTACATGCTTGCAGGTTATCTATAACAGAATTCCGAGTGCTTGTGCAAAATCAGAAGCACGACCACGTACACAGTCAGCCGAGCAACATTAAGGGCCCAAATCCAGCCCATGCGTGATGGACCGAACCTGGGCCATTGTTTGTACGATGCGGGCCTACTTGGTCTGTTTCGACCTGGGTTCGACCTTCGTGAGGTTGAGATTGCAAGCTCTGTGTTCTTT